GGGCATGGTGGCGCTCGTCTGTGGTCCCAGCTACTTAGGAGGCTGAGGCGGAAGAATCGCTTGAACCCAGGAGGTGGAGGTTGCAGTGAGCCGAGATTGCGCCACTGCACTCCAGCCTGGTGACAGAGCAAGACTCTGTCTCAAAAAAAAAAAAAAAAAAAAAGAGCTGGCTGAGAAATGACTGAATGAATGACAGAACAACAATGTTCCCTTGCCTGGCGCTTCTTAGCTAGATTCTTCCCATTCATCTCCTGTACCCACCATGGCACCTGTAGTCCACACCCCAGAATCTGGAAGGCCGTTTCCCTTGGTAACCCCTTCTGTGCTTGCGCACTGTTCAATCTGCCCTCAGGCCTCTGGACTCTCCTGAGCAGACTCTCCTCCCTCCCTCTCTCCCCCTTTGTCTCTTTCTTATCCTCTCCCCAAATTTCAAACCTTATCTTTTTCAGGGAGTATTCACTTTTAATTTGGCAATTGTGTCACCTATTGCTCAGTAACAAACAGCTACAACAGCTCTGTGGCCCACAGCAAAAAAAAAAAAAACAAACTGCTTATTTTTGTCATGTGTCTGAAGGTTGGATGATCTAGGCTGGGATCAGCTAGGTTTGGCTCTAAGCTGCAGTTTGGGTCCAGGTCTGCTGCATTTGTCTTTCAGGGCTCACAGGAAAAATTCATCTCATCCTGACGGCAGAGACACAGTAGGCTTTAGGCCTGGACTCAATACTAGCATGCTCTCCTTTTCCACTCAGATTCTGTTGGCCAAACCAAGTCACAGGGCCACACCTAAACTCAAGGAATGGGTGGGGACCTCCATCCATGCTGCCTTTGGTGGGAAGAACCATAAATATGGCCATGGGTGTACATATGCAAGGAATGGTGAAGAATTGAGCTAGTTATTCAGTCTACTACAATAATCCTTTTGGTTTCTTTCCATGCAGAAAGCCAACAAAATCATTTGTGATCCTGGTTTCTTTTAGTTCAAGGAAAGTGATCATTCTAAGAGTGTCTTTGTTTACCTGAGGACCTTGGGCCATGCCAAGTATTTGTCAACATGTGATTTATGGTGGGGAACCCTGGGCCACACTGTAACAGTCTGACAACTGGGGAGGGGGGACTAAGTTACTAAAGTCAGTTGCGTACTCCATGCCCACACGATCATCCCCTAGTAAATGTCCTGAACACCAAGGCTTGGGTGAGCTTCCTTGGTTGGTGTGAAGTGTTGTGTACTAAGGAAGCTTGTTAGAGCCTCAGTGCTCAGGGTTTTATTAAGGGTTGGTCACATAGGCACCCTCTGCCTGGCACGTACCAAAATTTCAGACCCCCAGAAGGAAGGAAGAAAGGTCTTTTACATGAACCACACAGTTTGTACAACACACAGTATATAGGCCTGACTCATCCATTAGGGAATGGTGGGAACCCTTCCTCAAATCCAAGTTCCCAGATGCCAGCCAAGGGCCAGTCTTGCACCAGCCCTTTCTAGGAATGACAGCCTGAGGTTTGCTATGTTCACCTTCTCTGTACAGTGGTGAAGAGAGAGGGGATGGAAGGGAGCACAGAAAGGCACAGGCCACGGTTACAGAGAGCCAAGTCACCTGTTGGGCATCACTGGTTGCTTCACCATCTCCTCAATGGAACACAGCCTAACTCAGCAAACATGCACCCACTATTTGAAGATGCTCACACCACAACCTCAAAAAACAAGATCTTTTATAGGGCCCTGGGCCTAAAGAAAGGTAAGCAATGTGCCCATTATCTTCTAGCTAATAAGTAATGGTGGTATTTGTCTAAGGCATGAGGCCCTGTGTGGTAGGCTGGGAAAAATGGCTCCCTAAAGATATATTAATTTGCTAATTCTCAGAATATAACTTTATTAATTTGCAAGGGTTGCTGTAACTAAGTGCCACAAACTGGATGGCTTAAAATACACAGAAATGTTTTATCTCACAGTTCTGGAAGCCAGAAGTCTGAAATCAAAGTGACAGCAGAGTTGATTCTTTCTGGAGGCTCTGAGGGAGAAACCATCCTATGCCACCCCCCTAGCTTCTGGTGGGTCCCGGCAATCTTTGACCTTCCTTGGCTTATGCACATATTACTCCAATCTCTGCCTGTCTTCACATGGCCTTCTTTCTATGTGTGTCCCTCTGTGTCCTCTCTTCTGTCTCTTATAAGGCCATCAGTCATGGAATTTTGGGTATACCCTAAATCCAGGATGATTCTTCTTGACATCCTTAATTACATCTGCAAAGACCCTATTTCCAAATAAGGTCATGTTCTAAAATTCAAGTGGAGCCAGGTGCTGTGGTTCATGCCTGTAATCTCAGTATTTTGGAAGGCCGAGGTGGGAGGATCACTTGAGCCCAGGAGTTTGAGACCAGCCAGAGTAACATATTGAGACCCTGTCTCTCCAAAAAAAAAAAAAAAAAAAAATAGCAGGGCATGGTGGCATGTGCCTGTAGTCCCAGATACTGGGGAGGCTGAAGGGGAAGGATAACTTGAGTCGAGGAGGTCAAGGCTGCAGTAAGCTGTAATCGCCATTGCACTCCAGCCTGGGTGACAGAGGAAGACTCTGACTCAAAATAATAATTTAATTCAGGTGAATTTGAAGTTTTTTGGGCGATACTATTTAACCCATTACAATTACCTTACATGGTAAAGGAGTGATGGTTACATTACATGGCATAAAAATGTGATTTAAGTAAAAGGATATTGAGAAGGTAAGCTTATTCTGTATTATGCAGGTGGGCCCTATATGTAGTCACGCGTACCTTTTCTTTTTCTTTTCTTTTCTTTTTTTTTTTTTTTTTTTTTGAGACAGAGTGTCACTCTGTTGCCCAGGCTGGCATGCAGTGGAGCAATCTTGGCTCACCAAAACCTCTGCCTCCCGGGTTTGAGCGATTGTCCTGTCTCAGCCTCCCAAGTAGCTGGGACTACAGATGCATGCCACCACACCCAGCTAATTTTTGTATTTTTGGTAGAGATGGGGTTTCACTATGTTGGCCATGCTGGTCTCCAACTCTGGACTTGTGATCTACCAGCCTCGGCCTCTGAAACTGCTGGGATTACAGGCTTGAGCCACCATGTTTGACCACATGTACCCTTCTAAAAGAGAAGCAGAGAATTTTGGGACACACAGAAAAAAGACAGCAACATGAAGATGGAAGCAGAAATTGGAGTGATGCAGCCTCAATCCCAGGGATGGCGGCAGCCAAAAGAAGCTGGAAGAAAAAGTGAACAGATTCTCCCCTAGAGTTTCCAGGGAAAGTGTGGTCCTGCCAACAATTTTATTTCAGCTCAGTGATAACAATTTTGGACTTTTGGGTCGGGGGCAATGGCTCACGCCTGTAACCCCAGCACTTTGGGAGGCCAAGGCGGGTGGACCACCTCAGGTCAGGAGTTTGAGACCAGCCTGGCAAACGTGGCAAAACCCTGTCTCTACTAAAAATACAAAAATTAGCCAGGTGTGGTGTGGGTGCCTATAATCCCAGCTATTCAGACATTGAGGCAGGAGGACTGCTTGAACCCAGGGGGCAGAAGTTGCAGTGTGCTGCGATTACGCCACTTCACTCCACACTGGGTGAAAGAGTGAAATTCCCATCTCAAAAAAA